TTCACAGTATTCTCCAGAAACACTGGAGAGCTTGTGGTAACTGGAGCATTTAATAGAAGTTGTGCGTATGGGCAAGTCAATCTTTCACTCATTCTCATTATCTCTACTTGAGACAATAACAAGGAACATCATAATACGGCCAGAGTTCCTGTACGTTAAAACAATGCATTTGCCCACTTATACGTCCTCCTATATGCTGGAATTTGCAAAGTGGAGTAGAGCAACAAAGAAAAATCCACATTAGTATCTTGGGTAAGTGTTATAATAATTATTTTGTGTGTCTTAAATAGTTAGCATCACTTGAAGGTAAGAAGAAAGAGTGTATCAGTGCTGAGACGAGGGTCAAGTCAGCGACCATACCTCCCACTGCTGTGTTGACCACAGGATGTCATCTGTCAGAAAACTTCAAAATATAGCTTGGCTCTCTCTCTTATTACAGCTGTAATGTTATAATGTTCAAAATCCATTTTTGTAATCCTACAGTAATATCAAAGAAGCCAAGAAACCATTCTCTTATTTTTAGCGGTGCAACAAAATATAAAAGAAGCAAAGGGTGTCAGAGGAGCAAGGATATTACTTGCTTCTTTTTTCATTAGAAATTAGCAGCAGGGAAGCAATAATTCATTGTACTTTAAACATTTATGTGAGATGAATGATTTCAACTGTGCAAGTTAGTAGCTGCTTTATCTTTGATAAATGTATTTACTGCTCCTGCAGCAAGATGGCTACTGCTGTCATCTTCTGCTAGTAATGGTCCAGGGAAATGCTTACATCTAGTGTAACAGACCAAGAATTAAATCTCTGCAACTTTAGGAGCAGTTGAGGTGACCAACAGAATGAGGAAGGGTCCTTCCCAGTAATTGCAATCACTTGGTTCCCTGGCTTAATGGAGTGCACAGACAACTGCAAAATTTCTGACAATACCTGTGTAGAGAGAAGAGCTGCTTCTGCAATTTCAAGAGATATGAGGTTTGCAGTGTATGCCCCAGAGCAAAGTCTGGTACATTCAAAGAAGTAGAATAAGGAGTTGGTCTATCAAATATAAAACGTGGGCATTTTGTATCTAACCTGCAGTCAGTGATAAAAATAAGGCAACCATCTATTTTAGTCCAGTCTGTGTACAGTTTAGCAATAGAGAGTGTGTGCATATTCTATGTTAAACCGAAAATAAATAAATTTAGCAGTATTTTAAATGGACAAAAAGCCCCAGGGGCATCCAGCTACGGTCCCTTATATTCCCCTCCTTGGATTAAACTGGACATATGTGAGACAGTTCAAGACAACACCGTCAGGATATTTCTGTCGGCAGACATTTTGTGCTAAGAAAGAAATTAAAAGTGTATATTGCCAGAGTCACTCAGAACAGAGCGGACTCCATTTTGCTATCTTCAGAAATTCAAAGACACATAATTTCCTTGATTTCACTAACCACTGGGCTAAGGAATGTATTACATAAACAAGCCAAGTGATAAGCAATGAAGCAGGGCGATGGAATGCTCTGTCTAAATGTTAATGGAATAGATGCATTATATAAACACAGACACTAGTGACAGAGAAGACTACGTAATTAATTTTACTTTCTAAATTTTACAAGGTTCCATTGTAAGTAAGGGGTGAAATTGAGTTTAGAACTGTCAATTTTACAAATTACGATCAAAGTAATTTCCACAAAGACTGAGACAAACGCTTTGAACTGACAGCAAATCTAAGTTATGGTAGTCATTTTAGATAAGCCAAATGACGTCAAAATCGTCATCAGGAAAAGTTAACTCTTTCCTGGAAAGAAGGATTAGTTAGGCAAGACTGCCCTCTATGGATCAAATACCTAAATTGTGATCCATAGATTGAACACATCTACAGTTTCCTATTGGTTTATCAACTAATGACGTACAGAGAGTCTGGCCCTTTAAAAGTTAGGACAAAGGGAAGAGAGGTAGTTGGTAAAGAGACGAGTTGAAGTTTGGGGATTCCAATTTGGATATGCAGAGAGATCCAGGACATTCTCTGGGACTAACACTCTACTCTTAAACTCTCCTGGACACTCAACTCTTAAACTCTTTGACACTTAGAATTTTACTCTGACTTTCTAACCAACACCACTTTTCTTTATCACTCACGCACCTCCATACAAGCAATCAAGTTTCTGGGACTACCTATTCATCTGATGAGAATATCTACATAACTGGTAATTATGCTGGTTTTATTTATTTCATTTAAATTAATTAAAATTTACTAATAGCATGATATATGACTGGATAAATCACAGTCAGATTTCAATATTTAGAAATCTTAGTTAACTAAAGAATATATAGTTATAAACATTCCATTCAGCAGGTGGAATTAAGAATAATTATATATTAACGTGATATTATCACATGTTACCATACTGCTGTTTTTATCCAGGTGTATTGATTTGCTCTAAAATAAGATAAAATATCTTGTTAGGCAAATTAAAATTCGGCTTTTGTAAAAAATCTGGTAGATTATTCTTATTGGATGGTTCTAGGAAATTACTAATGAGCTGGTTTGTATGTTATTTTAATTGAAAATCACAGGAGAATAGGATACTATATGCCTAGGAGGATCTAGCCAGCATTGAAAGGGTTACTCAGTTGATTTAACTGTTAGCCAAGGTTTTATGGCTTTTCGCTGTGAGAAGCTTTATTTTTGTCATGGAGTACCCTCATAAATCTTAATTGACAGATGATGCTGTTAGCCATTGGAACGTGTATAGCCATTCCATTATATTGTATACTTATGTTATACTAAATACTCACTGATTATTACCATGCATGCTGCCTAATATTATTTGTTAATTAATTTGTTACAATAAATAAATCTATTTTTATAACAAATTGTGATCTTAACTGTATGGAATACTTTTCACTTATTTGATAAACGATCTCTAAGATCTAAGAGAATTGAAATAGTGGGCGATTCTCGACTGTTTAATATTATCACCCCATAAATATCCCCACAACACATTGGGTGGCCTGGTAGATACCTTGGGCAAACAAAATTCTGGAGAGGCATTTAGCCATGCCTCTGCTGCATAAATGTAAATCACATAGGATTCTTACTGGTAGGCAAGTCCTGTGTGTTAAACCCAAAAATCCCATACTGTATTCTTGGAGGCCTCAGTCTCAGTCATGCTTATAGGACAGGCACATGAAGATGGATTAGTGTTGTTGCATTAGATTGTAGTGCAACAGCCTGTAGGTAGTGCTTGTCATCAGTCAGTGGTTTTAGGGCAGCAGACATAGGCTGAGTTATGTTACCTAGGGTAATAAATCTCTAGTCTTGGAATGAGTAGAGCAATGCATTAACTTCAAGTACATCAGATGGTGTAAGCATAACCGGAATGTCCTGTACTACTAATAAACTTTGAGATGTCATCACAAAAGAGTCAAGCCTGGGTTATCAAAAGAAAAACCAGACAAGTCATCCCTGGGATTCTTAGAGTGGATAAAGAATGTTAAATAATCATTGGGAAGAGACTCTCCCCCTCATCAGGCAAGGGAAGCAAAGTTGCTGGTGTAATTAGAATGAGAAATAATAATGTTCCTTAGTCCTAAAAGTACAGTCTCATATTTAGTGAGCCTTTTATGGAAAAAGTTACTGTGTGCTCTTTATTTTTTTATAGACAATCTTTTAAGTTTTTCTGTAGATGATGGTACAGTGTAAATGCAGATGTATATTGCAATGTGTAACCATAGTGATTAGTGATGTCCCGAACGGTTCGCCGAACGGTTCGCCACAAACGGTTCGCCGCGGACTCCACTCAGCAGACACATTCCAGCCAATCAGCAGCAGATCCTCCCTCCCAGACCCTCTCACCTCCTGGACAGCATCCATTTTGAAGCTGCATTCTTAGTGAGCTGTCCAGGAGGTGGGAGGGTCTGGGAGGGAGGGTCTGCTGCTGATTGGCTGGAATGTGTCTGCTGACTGGAGTCTGTGGCGAACCGTTCGGTGAACCGTTCGGGACATCACTAATAGTGATAGGTAACAGATAACAGAACATCTAGAAAAAAAACACATCAGATTGATATGTCTGATGTCTCAGGTTGGTGTGTAGCCAGTACCTTGATCACACATGACAGCCAGGAGGGGAAAAATTAGAATCACCTTTAGTTTTAATCATCTTAAGTTTGCAGTCGATTGTGTAAGCATGTTATCTCCGGCTGTTCTGAAATCAATCGCTAGTCAGTTTGGCAAGAACAATTTAATGGGAACGGGAACAGTAGTCCTCTGGGAATGTAACGCAATGTAACACAAAAGCTGGGGCAGCCTGACATCTTTCACTAGTGTACATGCAGGTTTGCCCGGCCATCAAAAGTTTGTATAAGTCAGGGTATCGATGTGGTCAGGGTACCGGGAGCTGCAATGCGGCATGAAATATAGTCCTGCCAGGGGGCCATAGCTGAGTGCATTGGTCTGATATTCCAAGGCAAACTGTTAGTGTCTCCATGTCATGTAGTTTTTCTACCTTGTCCATCCAGTGCCACACTGTTGAAACGTCTGCCGAGTGCCATCTGATTGGAATAAGCGTTCAGGAGATGCCTGGTCTAGGATCTCTTATATTCCAATATAGAGAGTTTCGCATGATGCAGCAGCAAATTTGAGTCCAATATCCCAGTGATCAGTTTGTGTATTTGTTGCCAGTATGGAGCTACTTTAGTGCAGGACCACCATATACATATGTCTGTACTCAGGGCAGAGTTACAGCGCCTACAGGTCACAGGGATATTCCTGTTCATGCAATGAAGCCAGACTGGGGTCCTGTACCAGCCAGTGATGAACTTGCAATTTAATTCTTGCACTTTCGTGCCGATAGTCCCTTGGTGGGCTAATATGTGGAACTTCTCCCAATTGATGTCTGTTAATGTGGTATCCGTATCCTTTTCCCATCGAGCTGTATATTTTGGCAACTGTGTGCTCTTTTGACATAATAAACAAAAAAGAGTTATTGCATGTATTTGGACATTTTGAATCAGCTCTACCTTGATAAGTCCTGGAATTGAAACCAGTAGGTTGTGAGCAGTTTGTGTGATTCGGCATCCTCCAGCCTGGACTTCTACTTGTGATCTCCTTGTGATCTTCTGCCATTCAGAGAGATCCGAAGTTTCAGTGAGTGGGAAGGATTCATCACTGGAATCAGCGCTGGGCTGATCCTGCAGCATTAGATTGAAGATCTTCTGACCTATTGATGTGCTTTTCTATATTTGGCATTTTATATTTGTGAGTGTAATATTATCCCTGATTTTTATTGTTGTCAAGTGAGATTTTATACTACGTTGTTTATTTAATATGTTTTTAACACCTTAAGGAGGGAGGCAATTGTACACATTCTGATCGAAACAAAATCAAAACAAAACCTGGATTTGTGCTATATGTCTGTTCAAAACAATGAACAGGAAGCAGCTCCATTTTTAGTGATCTCCCCTCCCCACCTGTCTCTTAGTGATCTCCCTTGATCCCCTGTCCCTTAGTGCTCGTCCCTGATCCCCTGTCCCTTAGTGCTCTCCCCTGCCCCATGTCCCTTAGTGCTATCTCCTGCCCCATGTCCCTTAGTGCTCTCCCCTGCCCCCTGCCCTTAGTGCTATCCCCTGCCCCATGTCCCTTAGTGCTATCCCCTGCCCCATGTCCCTTAGTGCTCTCCCCTGTCCCCCTGTCCTTAGTGCTATCCCCTGCCCCCTGTCCATTAGTGCTCTCCCCTGCCCCCTTCCTATAGTGCTCTCCCCTGCCCCCCTTTCCATAGTGCTCTTTCTCCTCCCTTCCCTTAGAGTTCTCCTCCCCCCACCTTTTCTATATTTGGCATTTTATATTTGTGAGTGTAATATTATCCCTGATTTTATTGTTGTCAAGTGAGATTTTATACTACGCTGTTTATTTAATATGTTTTAACACCTTAAGGAGGGAGGCAATTGTACACACATTCTGATCAAACAAAATCAAAACAAAACCTGGATTTGTGCTATATGTCTGTTCAAAACAAATAAACAGGAAGTAGCTCCATTTTAGTGATCTCCCTCCCCACCCAAGTCTCTAGTGATCTCCTGATCCCCTGTCCCTAGTGCTCGCCCCTCTCTCGATCCTGTCCCTTAGTGTGCTCTCCTGCCCCATGTCCTCCCTTAGTGCTATCTCCTGCCCCATGTCCTTAGTGCTCTCCCCTGCCCCCTGCTCCTTAGTGCTATCCCCTGCCCCATGTCCTTAGTGTGTGCTATCCCCTGCCCCATGTCCCTTTAAAACCTCCCCTGTCCTCTGTCCTTAGTGCTATCCCTGCCCCTGTCCATTAGTGCTCTCCCTGCCCCTTCCTATAGTGCTCTCCCCTGCCTCTCTTTCCCCATAGTAAGTGCTTTTTCTCCTCCTTCCCTTAGAGTTCTCCTCTCTACCTTTCCTTTTAGTGGTCTATCCTCCCCCACCTTTCCTTAGTGGTTCCCCTTACCCCTCATATTTCTTTAGTGGCTCCCTCCCTCCCCCTGTAGTGTCCCTTAGTGCCATCTCCCATCCCCTCCCTGTTGTGCCTCCTGCCTCTTTGTAGTGTGGCCGGGTGGTGGAGAAAGTGGTACAGGAGCTTCTGTTTCCTGTACCCGGCCGGACTGACAGGAAGTGCTCACTGAGAGAGCACTTCCTTCGAGTCCAGTCAGGTACAGGAAGCTCCTGTACCGCGGTCTGCGTCACCCAGCCATGTTACACTGAGTGACCGGCAGGAAGGAGCGCAGTGTGCTTCCCTCCTGACAGGTCACTCGAATCTTGAGCCCCCCGGGCTGGTGCGCCCTAGGTGACTGCGCCGGCACTGAACTGGATGCGCCGGCCCTGAACCAGAGTGTGAGTGCAGTTGAGATATACACTAGATGAAGTTATTATAGTGCCTACATTTGTTTCCCCCTTCAAAGTTGTGATGGCTTTGAAGCGCAGTGTCAAGCCAAGCCTCCAAGTCTTCCACGTATGAGAGTCAGGACTGAGATTCCTGGCTCTCATACCCTAACATACTGTAACATCATGCACTAGTATGCAGTGCCGTCGCAATCTCCTATAGAGAATTATTGCATGCAATGATTTCTATGAAAGAACCATAGGCACATCATGGCGAATGCCGAGCATCTGCCTACGTACCCTAATGTTCCTCTGTTAGGACTCGGAGAATTGGTTTGGCTGCAGTAGCGCTGAGGGAGAGTTGATGTTGGAGAAAAGTTGAGTTATTTGATCAATTTCATTTTTTATTTTAATTTACATGGGAGGGAGGGGAGGGTTATTTAGGCATAATAGGCATTACCTAAGTTATAAACAAATGCCAAAAACCACACACCACTCTCTGTGTCCCAGATAGTAAATATATACAATACTTATATATATATATATATATAAACAGGTGTGTATCGCTGGTATTCCATATAATTGGATCCTACAATAATAAAAAACAATACATAGTATAGACTGTATATATAAAATAGAAAATAAAAGTAAATGAATCCACTCATGGATTACAGAGCCGTGCCAGGCTCTGTATATAATGCCCAAGGGTGCCTTAATAGGCTAAACGCAGAAACTCCACGATATCCCTCAGAATCAGGAGAAGCAGCAATGATGGTGAAAGATGAACAAATTTATTATAAATAAAAATATATAAAAGCAACCGTATAAATTGTATATAGTAATACACAGAATGATAATAATGCAGACGCGTTTCAACTCAGTCCGAGTTTTCCTCAGTGCATAAAAGTTCATCTGGCTGCTTTTCCTTTTAAATCCGCCGCTTCTGTGATTGCTGATCACGTGGGCGGAAGTTCGGCTTGTCGGCGTCTGACGTCACTTCCGGTTTTCCGGCGCTCATCTCGTCGGTTTGATTCATTGCAGGTTGTTTGCCCAATTGAAGCAGAAGCTTCCATTATATGAATGGGCATCTATGGAAGGCTTGTGAACAGCATATATGTACAAATTAAACAGTAATATTACACAATTGTATATATAGATAATGCCCATAAAAATCTCTTACAGAGGAAAAAAGGATATTATACAGTATAGTACAAATATATACCACATGTATGGCCCATAGCTACAGCCCAGATAAAAGGATAGGTAGGTCCAAGATCAAATAAAAGACAGAATAATAATAATAAAAAACAATAATAAAAAAACTATAAGAAATAAATATGAAAAAAAAATAATATATATAAAAGACAACATTTTCTTTATTTGGAAGGGCACTAGAATGACTTTGGACCTTTTTTTTAGAGGGTCTCAATGATAATCAGAGAAACATTGTTTTAACTAGTCAAATCAGCCAAACGTCTGTCCAGTTCTTGGACCTAGAGATTTATGTTGTTAATAATCACATTCTTACGAGAACTTTTTTTAAACCAGTGGATGTCAATGGGTACATTGACACCACGAGTTGTCATTATGACCCGTGGTTGCGCAATGTACCCAAAAGCCAATTTAATTGTATTCTTAAAAATTGTAGTGATATTAAAGAATATGAAAAACAGGCAGGGCGCCTAAAAAATTTTTTTGTAGAAAAGAAATATGACCCAACTATCTTAGACCATCAGATTCAGCAGACTAAATTAATAAATAGAGAATCTTTATTAAAATACAAAGATAAACAAACAAATAAACGGACAGAGGAACCTCTTCTGATTTTAGACTATAGTGGTGATGCTAGCCATATTAAATCAATTATTAATATATATTGGCATATTTTGCAAACTGATGAAGGTCTTAATGACATCATCAGTGAAAAACCAAAAATTGTATATAGAGGCACAAAAAACCTTCAAACCCTATTAGCCAAAAATCATATAAAAAATGTCACAAATACCAATGCTTTCAATCAGAAATCTGTTTTTTTACCCGTGTAAAATGTGCACAGCCTGTAAAAGGACAACATTTAAAAAAGATACTTATATTAAATTTATTTCCAACATGTCACAAAAAGAATATAAAATCAATTCTATCCTCACTTGCCACTCCAGCAATGTAATATATCTCCTTTGGTGCCCTTGCGGATTACAATACGTGGGAATGACCACAAGGACTTTAAAAACACTCATAATGGAGCATTTGGGCAATATACAGAGAGGATATGTTAAACACAGCGTCTCTGCACATTTTGCACAGCACCATAATAGGGATCCTTCCCTTGTTAGTTTCATTGCTATAGCCCAAAAGAAAAAGGATTGGAGAGGTGAAGACAATTTTAAAGAACTCTGTAAATTTGAAAGCAGTTGGATTTTTGAGTTGAATACTTTATCCCCCAAAGATTTTAATTTAGATTTTGAGTTGGCCCACTTTTTATAGTCATTTTATATATTTTTTCATTTATTATCTTTTATTTTATTTTTATTATTTTTTATTTTTATATTTATTTTTATTTATATTTATTATTTATTATTTATATTAGTATTTATATTTATTTATATTTATATTTATTATTTATATTTATATTTATTTTATTTTATTTCTTTTTATTACTTATACTTTATTATGTTTTATTTTTATTTATTTTTATTTTTATTTTCATTTTCATCTTTATTCCTATTTTTATATATATTTTTTTTGTTTGTTTATTGTTATTATTATCTTTTTTATATATATATATTTTTTCATATTTATTTCTTATAGTTTTTTATTATTGTTTTTTATTTTTTTTATTATTATTATTCTGTCTTTTATTTGATCTTGGACCTACCTATCCTTTTATCTGGGCTGTAGCTATGGGCCATACATGTGGTATATATTTGTACTATACTGTATAATATCCTTTTTTCCTCTGTAAGAGATTTTTATGGGCATTATCTATATATACAATTGTGTAATATTACTGTTTAATTTGTACATATATGCTGTTCACAAGCCTTCCATAGATGCCCATTCATATAATGGAAGCTTCTGCTTCAATTGGGCAAACAACCTGCAATGAATCAAACCAACAAGATGAGCGCCGGAAAACCGGAAGTGACGTCAGACGCCGACAAGCCGAACTTCCGTCCACGTGATCGGCAATCACAGAAGCGGCGGATTTAAAAGGAAAAGCAGCCAGATGAACTTTTATGCACTGAGGAAAACTTGGACTGAGTTGAAACGCGTGTGCATTATTATCATTCTGTGTATTACTATATACAATTTACACAGTTGCTTTTATATATTTTTATTTATAATAAATTTGTTCATCTTTCACCATCATTGCTGCTTCTCCTGATTCTGAGGGATATCGTGCAGTTTCTGCGTTTAGCCGATTGAGGCACCCTTGGGCGTTATATACAGAGCCTGGCACGGCTCTGTAATCCATGAGTGGATTCATTTACTTTTATTTTACATTTTATATATACAGTCTATACTATGTATTGTTTTTTATTATTGTAGAATCCAATTATATGGAATACCAGCGATACACACCTGTTATATTTTTTCATTTTTTATTTGGTCACCCATACCATGAGAACTAGTACTGGCTCTTATTTATTAGAAACGTCTCCCTTATCATTTTCTCTGTTAGTCCTCAAGAGAAGGAAGATTCAGTCACTTTGGTGAACACTTTTTAATTCTCAACTACTGTATATTGTTTTAATCTTTTTTGCTCATGTGTATTCCTTATTGTGTGTACCGTCAGTTTGTTCATTTGGGAAAGTTTGATTTTTATGTGCCGTTTATTTATCTGTTATTTATTTATGTAAATGGGAACATGCACTCGCTGCCATGCCTGCTTTCAAAACTGAGATAAAGGCTATGTGACTGTATATTGAAGTACATGTGTAAAAATAAAAAAAATAATGATATTGTTTAATAGTATAGTTTATTTAGGTGTGTACTTTTTCTACAATCAATCAAGTTCCCTCTAATGGCATCTAGTTAAAAAAAAATGTTACCTGATGTGTTACGAAACATCAAAGGGATTTTTCCCCATTCTGCTGACCACATGATTTCTTTACTGACGGTACATATGTCCCTTTAAAAATACTTTTATGATAATTTGTATGTGCACAGACACAAATTGAACCAGTAAGTTTTGCTAAGAATTTAGGTGCACTAGGTAACTTTAATTATTTATTTTTTTCAGGATAATTGGTATAACGACGAATACAGCCATTGTTGCATAAGTGATGAAGATGAAAGGCCGACATTCAATCATCAATGTAATAATTCAACGGTAATCACATTGTTAGACATTAACATGATATAACGGCTACAATCCAGAGATTTCCGTAAAGCCATTGGTTGAACCAAAACAGGGTGCTATCTTCAGATATATTGACAAATCATTGTTCCTTTCAGTGTCACAGGCTAGCAAAAGATTATTGCACCTCAGGCATGAGACAATTTATTGGCGATGTATCAGTATTAAATTAGACAGACATACAGACAGGCACACAGGCACACAGGCACACAGACAGACAGACCGATCGACACAGGTAGGTAGACAGATAGATAGGTAGGTAGGTAGATTGATAGGTAGGTAGATCGAATCAATAGATAGATAGTGTATAATGTCATTGAAGGCACAAGAGATATGAAACATGCGATCTACTTAAAGGGGCACTGTCAATTCCAAGAATTTTGCACCATCACATAGACAGGTAAACGTTAGCTATTGGTTATGTTTGTCTTGACAACATTTTCACACAAAACATGAAAATGATAAAATAAAAAATAAATTTAAATCATCCCACTGCTTTATTCACCCCAGTGCATGGTGCAATCCAGTTTACTGGAGCAAGAAACTGGCACTTGTCCAGAAGTGACAGTTCCACTTTCACACAGCTTCTATAACGGAACCATATATAAACATACACATGCAATGTATGTATCCTGTATTCTAGACTGCCCAGCATGGACTTGAAATATAGTAATAGCTCAACCCTTTACCCTTAAATACATATTTATTGATTATTAATATTATTATTTTTATTATGACATCCATAAACATAAGTGTAAACCATCTTGATGTAGTTTTATAGTAGTTTCGTAGTTATGTTACTACACTAGCTATTTTGTATAGCTACAGTACATTTGTTCATAATGCATTTTACATGTTTCCCTCTAAAGAGTTGTGTTTAATGATTTTGTTGGCAAGAGTGATATTTTAATTGAAATAAATTATCTGAACAAATAAATGCAAAGACAGTTTTGTGAACACCATCATTTTTATCAAATTTAAATACAAAGATATTGTGACTAACTTGAAGTGCTATCATGTACTGCAACTAAATTTACACAGGGATCTGACTACAATTTCAGCTATGAAAACACAGATTAGGGGTTTCAAATGTCCCTTCAGTTCTACGATGCTGATAACATCTCGTCATCGTGTGCATAGTGCCTCAATAAGATTTATTCACTAAACAACAAATTGTCGAGAACGTAAAACCAAACTGCAAAATATTTTTTGGACATTCATTATTTTATACTTTTCAAAGGATACAAAATATATATAAAATAAAAACAATAAAGGGAAACCAATGAAGGGTCTTACATGAGAAAAAATGGCGTCAGAGTAAATAAGGTCCCAAAAAAGGACATAATCTACAAATGTGTTCATTGCTAGAACACCAGCAACAACATCGTCAAAATGTTCCACACAGAGGAAGGCAGACATGAAGAAGGAGGGAAGTAAAAACAGTGATAGTACACGCAATAGTACTTAGCAAGATCGGACACCAAGGACCTCACTTGCCACCACCACCACCACAATGATGCTCTTCAAAACCAGGTTGCCCAATAACAGGAAAGGTTATCACCTCTGTTGTACAAAGAGGCTGCCGAAGTGCAAAATCTGGGCAAAGACAGCCAAACTTTGATTATATCTGAGAAGTTTACCAACTCATCCTTTTTGTCTAAATTTAGCAATTTGGTTTTTATTTTGCCACAATTCACTATTTAATGATTAAAGCACGTGTCACTGTGGATATCAGTTTCAATGCATATTTTTTTTTTTAGATTTTCTAATAATTTAGTAATCAGAGCAGTTAGGATTACTTCAACCATTTTATCTTGATATGTGTTGTGACTTACAGCAAATGTTCCACTAGCTTGTACAAGCCTGTCACAACCGATTCAATTTTATGAACTGAATCAGGCTAATGTTTGCAGGAGAAAGAGTTTCAAGAATAAACAGCTTGAGATGCATGGGTGTTGTATTGCTAGAACTCATAACATACTATTACCTATACAACTGGCATGACTAATGCTGTCTTGCACAATATTGAGTAATTTGTTAATATTTCTTATATTTCTTGGTATCTTACGTAGATTCCTATAATAGTAGATTTCAATACGATAAAGCAGTAAGTGAACATGGTTTCACTTCCCAAAATCTGCAATGTCACAATTAATAACTTGCTTATATTTCCATTTTGTATTGTGTTGTTTCTACAGAAAGTGGAAGTTTTATATTTCTCAAAATTCAGCAGCCAGCACTTGATATTAAAGTAAAATGAGCTGTAACAACCAAGGCCTTAGTTCTATATTATTGGCTGAAAAAATTTATGATTCATTTGCTTGTGGCCACGTTAGTACTGTGCTCTTGAGTATGTGGGAGAGTACAATACATGGAGGATCCTGGGAGGCCATTGAAGCCTCCATACATCATGTCACACTATGAGAGAGAAGATATCTGAATCCCACACCGCCATCACTTGGGATGGCTATTGGGATTGGACAAAAGTTGATAACAGAGCTCCAAATTTTGTCAACTTTTGCCAAATCAAGGTTTGTCCATGAGACAAAGTAGTCTCTATATTTCATTAAAATTCCAGTGCCTTCTGCATTAGCATAACATAAAGATTATATATTTATGAATATTAGAAAGTGACAGAGCCACTTTAATACTACGGTCATTTTAATGTTTGAATCACCAGCGTAGTTTCCAGAGAAATGACCGTTCTCCTCTAACTATTTGGATTCTGGTATCTCTGCCTAGGTTGTTAAATGTCACAGATGGTGTTGGGACATGTCTCAAAGGTCTTTGTGAATCAAAAAGAAAAAATGTCATATTATAAGATATAACAACACAAAGAATTTTCAAAGGACTAATTTTAGAAAAGTAAAAGATTAAACTTCTTGCTTTCTGTTCTAGGCCAGATATAAATAGGCAGCGTCATATATAAGTAGTCAACAAAGGCAACCTAAATCATGGTTTATCAGTTCAATAATTAGTTAAATGAAAATTGTAGGCAATCTACAAGGTTCTAGTTTCAGTCCAATCATATTTACATTTATTCCATTTAGAATTATCTGTATCTGTGTGTAAATTTTTGCTGATTACAGAAAAGGTGTAGAATGATGTGAGGGCATTGTCCATAATAAGTAAGGACTATATAACCAATCAAGACTGGCCAACAGTTAGTGAACATTAAATGCACAGTGAATGGGGCAATTCGTCTGTTGTCACCGTATATATTTCACTTACAATATTATTTGCACCAAAGCAGCTTTGGCCTATTACAGTCTTAATTCTCATCTTCATTTCCATCTTAATAATACCCTTAGAGTCTATTGCAAATGCATAAAAGCAACCAATATAAATCATTATCATAACTTATACATGTTCTGCCAATTAATTACCATAGCACTGAATATGTTTAGTAAAGTGTATAGCAACAAAATGTATTTCATCATACAGAATCAAAGTGGAATACACAGGATGTTTAGGGTGTGTATCAAACTCAGAGAAATTAGATGTATTGTGGATACTAAAGTGGCTGTACATGCCAAGAGCAGCGGTAAAATAAGTATACCTGTTAAAGGAACACACAAAGAACCACAATTACAATCCCGTGTAGTTGTTATGGTGTTAGAGGTTTCCTGGTATCAAATATTGTTGCACCTGGAGTGTAAGGAATTAAACCATCTTAGAATTGGTTGACAACATAGATGGGGTAAGCCCCCTGCAGTGATACTGCCTTGCAGTGCAGGGAGGCTCTCATTGGCTGAGATTAGTCAGCCGTTGCTCTCAGGCAAATGGTCTGGCTATGCACGACAAGGCATTACTCATTAAGGCTAATGAAAGCTCTTTGCAGGAGCTTCCAGTTCCACAGGAGGTGGTGACTAGTATTAGACATACTCCAGATAAGCTGTCAAACCATTCGCCCCTGGAACCTTAACCACAACTGTGGGCCGTAGTGGTTATAAGGTTTAAAGAATGCCTTAAAGGGACACTATAGGCATCAAAACAACTTTAATGAATTAATGAATTAATTAACTAACTAGTTTTAGTATATAGATCATTCCTCTGCAGTCTCACTGCTCAATTCTCTGCCATACACCTTCCCTGGCTGTTACTCAATCAGCTGTATGAATCAGATGTTAACTTGCTTTAGAATATTTCATCTCCTGTTCCATACATTAAACTTTAATCACACACAGGAGGCTCCTGCAGGGTCTAGATTGCTATTAACAGAGCATTAATAGGAAATGCTAAATTAAATAGATTGTGCAATAAAGGAAGTGTAAACATTAGATCTCTCATTACATGAAATGTTTTGGAAGGCTGTGCAAGTCACATGCAGGGAGGTGTGACTAATGCTGCATAAATGCCAAAGTGCCTAAATGGAAGATAATAATTGCAGATAACTGAAACTGCAGGAGCATGATCTATGCACCAAAACTGCTTCATTAAGCTAAAATTGTTTTGGTGATTATAGTGTCCCTTTAACCTGAGAACAACACTAGCATTGACAGATGATTTGACTATATTATCATTAGCTTTGTAACATAATGTATTCATTGATTTTGTTTATTTCCTATATTTAGGATATATAACCATCTGTAAAAACATTTCTATAGTGAGTCTTGGTCCAGTACCTTGAGTTTAATAACTTTATGAATGTTGACAATTATTAATTTTTTAAAAATATATTTTTCCTGTTTAAGGCTAATGCATCTTACATCACTATTGGCACCATAGCAACTCCACCTCAATGAAGTTATTATGGAGCATAGAGCTCCCAGCGCCATCTTACCTTAAGGGGTTAAACCATTAACGGAAACTTTAACCCCAATCACTCTGCCAACCACTTTCTCTGCAAGTCCAAGGGTACTACCAGAACAACTTGGATCTTTGCTCCGCCAATAGGCTTGATCCCCATCCAGAATAGTGAGTGAAAAAGATAGGTACCTTTTTCACTAACTTTTTGGGGGTATGGATCTTGTGATGGACAGAGAGCATCGGCTGACACATCAGGCCTATTAACTGTGCTTGGTCTGTGGCATCACCCAGAGAAGAAGTAGATTATACCTTTAAGTTAGGATGGCACCTGGGAAATGAAAGCACCATAACAACTTAATTGTGATGAAATTGTTAGGGTACCTGAATTGTAATTTTATTATTAGATGACCTATGACAAAATTATTAAAATGTTTTATTTTTCAGAACAACTGTACTAAACTGAATTCCTATAATCCAGAACTAATTTTTCAGTGCAGCAACAGCGAGGTAATTACTATTAGCATATATTGTGTTATGTATTAATATGTAAATTGTGTAATGGTGGGAGGTGTTTTCTTTTTAATGTAAACATAAAAGACACAAGTTTGTTTAATTATCACATTTTGATGTACCCCCTAACACTACTGTATTTGCTGGTACAAACAGAGGAGTACTAGTGATTCTATATTTTAATTTATTAATTAAATATAAATGTTATATAGATGTTAATAGTACATTGTGTGCAAGACAAATACCAATAATAATAATAAGTAGAATCACCCAGTAGTTGGAGTCTGAGTGGCTTTATACAATCTTCACTAGGCTGTGGCTGGGGTTAGATTATTTTGCCTCTCTGCCATTGGCTACAAGAATATGTTAACAGTTTCTGTGAATTAAATCACAGAATCACTCTGGCACCACTAACTCACCCAACTACAGTTCTACATTCATTTGTATCCATTAAACAAATTCCATCAGCATACCTTTACTTGTATACATCGTGATAGGTGACATGTCCACCTCCAGGGAACAAGATTCTGGATTTCATGTGAAATTCAGCATACAAGCAATGCACATATTTAAACCATATTAGAGGTTGCATGATAAGTTTAAAGGGACACTGTAGGCACTGTAACTGCTTCATCTCACGGAGGTGGTTACATAGTCTGGAGTCCCCTACTTCAGTCTTTCTATTTAGTGTTAAACCATTTTAATGGTTTTAATGCTAAATAAGATCGCCGGACTGGCCATCAGGCATACAGGGCAAATGTATGGCCATGGGCCGAGGCCGACTGGGGAGATCAGTGTACCTCCCCTGCCGGCCCATGCCTGGCCAGTACTATACAAGCACAGGCCCTGCTTTCTACCAACCAGCCCACAGGCACTGAGATGCGGCCACCAACAGGGGAGGGTGGGAGAGAAGACCCAGGGGAGCTCTATCGTGCAGCACCTATCTGGGTTTCCTCTCGCAAGGCGTTTCCGCTTTTACTATGGTTACTATGGCAATGATCCGATAATACACATATATATGTTTACTTTTTATCCCACAGCACCCCAAACATCACACTACACCCAAACACCACACTACACCGCAAACACCACATTGCACCCCTCACACACACACTGCACCCCAAACACCACAGAGCACCCCAAACACACAGTGCACTACCCCCCCCCACACACACACAAACAAACACTGCACCCCAAGCACCACAGAGCAACCTAAACACCACACAGCTCCTCTCACACACAGTGCACCCCCCCCACACACAGTGCCTATGCACACTCTGGGTCCTCCACACAAACACTAGATCCCCTACGCACACAGTAGACCCCTACAGACACACACTGCACCACCTACACACACTACATTAATGACATACAACCTCTGGATCCCCTGTGAACACACAAGATCCCCTGTAAGCAAGCATACACTACTTTCCCTAAACACACACACTTTACAACCCCTACACACACTACATTATCTATACACACATACACTACAGCCCCTATGCACACACTCGCTACATCCCTTATGCTCACACTCTCTCACTCTCTACAGCCCCTAGCCATACATATTACACCACAAACACAACACAACTGAAACTGACATTTACACAAAACACCACACCACAATCAACTCACTCTACACACACGCAATCCCTCAAGCAGGCTCTAAACACATGTACAATACGTAGAACAAATACAGGGCCTTTTTTCATACGAGAATTCTGAGCATTGAACCAACATGCTCACTTTGAGTGGGGGTGTGCTTGTCATTGGGCCACTGTGAATTAAAAATGCCCGGGCCGAATTTTCCATAGCCAAATGTACCACCCTAACTCCTCCCACAGTTTTTACACTACATAGACCGTAATATACCGAAACGTGCGGATTGTTCCCGATTGGATTGCTATTACTTTGTGGAACGTTTCGCCGAAAGGTTCACGGAATATCGTCGTTCTTGTGGCGAAATTGGTCCCATAGGAATGAATGGCAAAACTAGAGTGGGAGCTGGCAAAAGCTGAAAAATCAGGACATGATTTCTAAACTGCCACCACTCCCTCATTTTCAAGCCCACCTACACAAATCTTATATCAAAACGTGCAGCTATCTCTGCTGCCACTAAAAATGTCCATGGCTAAGTCATAGTCCTGATTGTTTTCACAATATAACCATTTGTTTGCAACTCACGCCGTCCATTGACATTCATTGAAACTCCACTCCAGCCAGCTCAAATTTGAAGGGCGATTTCTAAACTGCGACTGTGCCTTAATTGTTAATATTTCTGAGATATACTATGCATCAGAATGTAGGTCTGGGTCTTGTGATTCTCACAATATAAAGCTCTTCGCTGTAGGATTTATAGTTTTTAAAATATGACCGTTTGAAGATGACAACCGCCAAAATACTCTGACCTGTGCCAGGCTGCAGCAGCAAGTGATGTCATAGACAGGGCCTTTTGTACACCTGCTAATGTTTTTATAAATATATGTTTTAATGTAACTGTGAAGCACTTTGGGCAACAACGTTGCAATTAAATGTGCTATATAAATAAATAAAAGTTGAAATGCATTTCTCACTCTATCAAGCTAGCCATGTGCACTTTTTAAATTTGATCAATCAATTGGTTAGTGTAATGTTTACTATCTTTACTCACTCCAAACACTCCACACAGTTACTCTGCCCAGTCCAACCTTTCCACAGTTACTCCAGCCATTCCAACCACACAACAGTTACTCAAGCCACTCCACCCAGTTACTCCGCCCACTCCAGTTGTAGACTATTGGTGGAGGCAAGAACACTTCACACAATTTCCCCAGAAATTGTAGCTTTTCTAGTTTCATATGTGCAAGTCAGCTAATGCACTTTGAGCAGCAGTGACTGGGATAATGGTTTCCTTAATATACAATGTATTTATTTGATTGAAGAATCAATTTCCCATTTTTTTATTTTTTTTTATTACTGAATATATTAAATAAAGAGACACTTTAGGCACCACAACCATTTAATCTCATTGGAATGGTTAGGTGCCTGAGTCCTCGCCGTTCAGTGTTGAACTTTTTAAAATTGATTTAAAGATTATGAGATCCCAGACACCGACAACTGTACCCGTTTCTGCTGTTTGGAAGCATTAGTCCGAGCAGAGATGGTTATCAGTGATAAGCTGAGAGTGTCAGAACTATATTAGCCTATCACTGCTTCCCAGTCCGTGGATTGGTATGGCCAGGGCCGGTGCTAGTATTTTTGCCACCCTAGGCACAAAAACAAATTGCCCCCCCATGTGACATCACAATGCCCCACCCATATGATCTGCCATATGAACTAACGCCAGTGCTGCACTCAGTGTGTGTTTACATTAAAAAGCCTGCAGGGACCGACTATAGACACCAGAACCACTTTATTAAGCTGCAGTGGTTTTGGGGACTATAGTGTCCCTTTAATGTGAGGTAAATTAGAGATTAGTGTCACTAATAATATACTAGATTGCCTACTTACAACCAGATGAGGATGGTGATGGGCTGCAGTTTGGCTCCACTGGTCTGGTGTAGAACAGGATCTCTGGAGGCTGTTTGTAACTGTGGCCAAAAAATTCAATGTTCTGGGAGAACAGGAAGCAGCTCCATTTTTTGGGGCCCCTTACACAGCTCAAGGTCAGGGCCCCAGGGCCTGACAGTGAGTATGCCCATAAGGCCCACCCATAAGTCCACCTATATGTTCCACCCATGAGTTCGCTCACAAGTGTTGTGATGTGTCATTGTAGAGGATCTAATGTATTTGCTTATGGAATGTAGTGTATAGGGATTCCAGTTTGTGTAGGTGATGCAGTGTGTTTGTGTGTAGTGGAAGCAGTGTGTTTTTGTGTAAGGGATAGAAAGCAGTGTGTGTTTGTGTATAAGGGATGTATTGTGTGTTTCTGGTTGTGTGTAAGGTATGCATTGTGTGAATCTGTGTTTGTATGCATAAGGGATGCAAGGTGTGTTTCTGTGTACGTAACGGATGCAGTGTGTGTGTCTAAGGAGTGCATTGAGTGTGTGTAAAAGATGCATTGTGTTTCTGTGTGTATGTGTACTCCCCCCGTGTTCTCTCGGCTCCTGTGTTCTCCCTCGCCTCCCGTGTTCTCCTCATCTCCTCTCCTCAACCCACCTCCCGTTGTGCTCCCTGTGTTCTCCACCGTTGCTCCTGTGTTCTCCTTACCCCCTTGTGTTCTCTTTACTCCCCATGTTCTCCTTACTCCCCCCCTCTGTTTGTTCTCCTTACTCCCTCCCTGTTTGTTCTCCTTACTCCCCCGTTTGTTCTCCTTATTCCCCCATTTGTTCTTCTTACTCCCCGTTTGTTCTCCTTACTCCCCCCATATTTGTTCTCCTTACTCCCCATATTTGTTCTCCTTACTCCCCATGTTTGTACTCCTTACTCCCCGTTTGTTCTCCTTACTCCCTCCTCTGTTTGTTCTCCTTACTCCCCCTCTGTTTGTTCTTCTTACCCCTTCCCTCCCCTTCCTCCCTGTTTGTTCCCTCCCTGTTGTTCTCCCTTCCCTCCCCTGTTTGTTCTCCTTACTCCCTCCCCGTTTGTTCTCCTTACCCCCCATTTGTTCTCCTTACTCCCCATTTGTTCTCCTTACTCCTCCCCCCTCTTGTTTGTTCTCCTCACCTCCCCTTCCCTGTAGCATGGCCAAGCTCCTCTCCGGTCCGCGGTACAGGAAGGGCACACTAAGTAAACGGAGGTGAGAAGAGAGACAGTGCTGCAGCCGCCTGAGGCTCTCTAGAGAGCACTCAGGCGGCTGCAGCATTAGGGCCGGCGATGAGGGCGCAGGGCGCTCCCTCCTATATGGCGCCCTAGGCGGCTGCCTAGTTCGCCTTATAGGAAGCGCCGGCCCTGGGTATGGCTAATGCTGTGTTACACTCCAATTACCCATACCTTTCAAGGTGGGCAGAGCTACGGGTGATACACAGTGATAAACTGATCAAAATCGGTTTAACAGTGAATCACTGCACAGTGTTAGGGGACTGCAGGTACCATAACCACTTCACTAACATGAAGTGGTTATATTGCCTAAAGTGCCCCTTTAAGCATGACTCTTATCTTAAGTTACACTAACGTTCTTTAGATGAAAACATTCCTGAAAGCCTAATTTTCTCTAATGTTACTTTTACTGATATTTGGGGGCAGCAGGAATTAGCAAATGTTTGACATGCCCCAGAAAGACACAATCCAGCAATTAACATTATTTACTGATCAACTAGAGCAGTGGTTTCCAAACCAGTCATTGTGGCCCACCAACAAATCCAGGATTTCTGCATTTGCCTTTTTTATTCCAATGGAGATACTGACAAAACCTGCATTGTCGCTGAGTCGTGAAGACTGGTTTGGGAAACACTGATCTAGAGTACACAACTGGTATACTAATCATCAAGCATTTACTAAGCAGTTATCACATTGTCTTCCTCTTTTGTAATTTACAGGACTTGTGTCAATTGAATTGTTTACTGCATTGTCAAACGCAACAAATAAAGAAAAAGAGAAACCTGACGAACGTATTGGATAACATTATATCACATACAGGGAGGTTTTTATGTTGTAAGGTAATGCTGAATATAACATATAATATACAATATAATATAAATATATACAAATTTTACATGGGAGAAATAGCGTGCATGAACGATAAATTGAGATCTGTTCATAGCAATTCCTTAAGAAATTTTATAGAAAAAAAGAAGCTTGTAGGAACACAGAACAGTGAGTTATAAGACGTTATGCAGATATTTTTTTAAGTAAGATTTTGCATGAAAATCAAGAATTCCGTGCAGCCCAGTGCTATGTCTTGGGGATGCCATGCGCTAGTACTGCTACTTTTTGTAAAAAAACGCTATTCACTAAAACACTGAAAATCATCTCTAGTGCATGTTAATCGTTTTTTCATGTCATGTTTTCTGTTCTTTTAATGGTTTATTAAAGATGTAGCAATTGACATAACAATCCAGTTCAGTCCTGGCACAGCAAAGGCATGCATTGCATCACGAAGCAGAAACAGAATCATTATGGGTTATTTATAAAAGGATTATCATGAGAAAAACGGTTGCAATTGCAACACAATTATTGTCTGTAATTATATATAAATAAATAGCACCAAAAATACTGTACATCCCTGAACACTAGCGGCAAAATAGATAAAGTAATCTAATTTTTATTTCTTTTTCTTTTTTTTTTGCAGATTATGCACAAAAATAAGAATAAGAAAAATAAGAATAAACAAAATAAGAAAAGGGTAATTTTGTTTAGATTATTTAATTACAGTACAATTTTCCACTGTAAGAGAAGTTGTGTACTTATGTATACAGTCCATTTATATATTTTACATATACTATGTAGGCTCGAGAGTAATAATACTAGCAAACAGATCATGCCCAGTCTAGAGAATGCACTGTTATAACCAGTGGTGTATCCTGGTTTTGTGCTGCCCTAGGCAGGACAAAACTCAGGCGCCCCCCTGCCCCCGCGCCACCCCCACCCAACCCTTCCCCCCGCCCCACCTTCTAAATACACACACAGTCAGACACAAACACACAGTCAGACACATACACACACACACAGTCAGACACATACACACACACAGTCAGACACATACACAGACACAAACACACACACACAGTCAGACACATACACAGACACAAACACACACACACAGTCAGATACATACACAGACACAAACACACAGTGAGACACATACACAGACACAAACACAGTCAGACACAAACACACACACAGTCAGACACACACGCAGTCAGACACACACACAGTCAGACACACACACAAACACATACACACACAGTCAGACACATACAAAAACACACACACACTCACAAACACAGTCAGACACAAACACACACACACTCACAAACACAGTCAGACACAAACACACACATACACACAGTCAGAGACACACACTCACAAACACAGTCAGACACAAACACAGTCAGACACAAACACAGTCAGACACATACACAAACACAGTCAGACACAAACACACACACAGACACATACACAAACACAGTCAGACACAAACACACACACACTCAGACACATACACAGACACAAACACAGTCAGACACAAACACACACACACTCACAAACACAGTCAGACACAAACACACACAGTCAGACACACACACACACACATTACCTTTTTTTTTTAATTTAAAGCCCCCCCAACCTCCTTACCTTTGGGAGTGCTGGGGGGGTCTCTCTCCCTGGTGGTCCAGTGGCTGCAGGGCGGGCGGCGATGGCAGGCGGGCGGCTGGCGAGGGAGCACTTCCCATGAGCTGACTGCTCAGCTCCCTCGCGCGCCGGCTGCAGAGTGAGGCTGGGAGCCGGAAAATGACGTCATCTTCCGGCTCCCAGGCTCACTCTGCGGCACGCGAGGGAGCTGAGCAGTCAGCTCAGGGGAGGTGCTCCCTCGCCAGCCGCCCGCCCGGGATGTCAGTTAGCCGCGAGGCTAACTAGGCATTTGCCCTGGGCATTTGGGGGGCGGCGTTTTTTGCCGCCCCCTGAAAAATGCCGCCCAAGGCAAATGCCTTGTTTGCCTCGCGGCTAATACGCCCCTGGTTATAACCCCCATGGCTTCTGTTTCTAAATTCCGTATGACACACAGATACATGCACTGGCACAGAAACACAATGACACACAGATACACACACTGAGAAAGAAACACAATATCAAAAGATACACTGGCAAATTCACACAGATACACACTTTAACATACACTCTGATACACACACACCCTTTAGATACACACTGACACAAATACACACACTGACATACACACTTGCACATACACTCAGATATGCACGCTGACACACAGATACACACACTAGCACATATGCGGCTGCTAAGCAACTTACAGCTAAGGGAAGCTGCAGGATGCTCTGGGTGGCCAAAACACAATATGCAGCTCTGCTGAGGCTATTGAAAAAGATCTGAGTGACCTTTTATCCCCCCAGTCACTAGCCCTACTTGTCTTCAGAATCCCTTAAAGGGATGATACAAATTTGAATGTTGTGTGGCATGCACAATCATACAATCTAAATTCAATGTGAAAAATCAAGGCTAAATCCTGATTTCACTATTTGTAAATTTCAGTTTGTATTCAAAGACTATATGTATGTTTAGAGTTGAGTTGAGTCAAATTTTACTTGTGCCAGAAGGTTATTAGAATGATGACATAAAATATAATCTTATGAAACAGATTCTCTTAACTATAACTTTGGATGCCATAGTTCTAGACTAGTCCTTTTTAAAAATCAGTCACATCAGAACTTCACATTGCATAAACATTTACACAATCAGAGATGTGCATAAACCCTACATGTAAAGCTAAGGTTAGAACAAACACGTCATGCATACCTATCTTCACATTGCTCTGATACATCTGGTAGAACTTCTAGGGAAACTGTTAGTGCCCTTTTTATTATCAGTTCCATGAGTAGAGACCATTAAGGTTGAGCTGTTATAGAATAGAATCATAAGAGAATTCTTTCTCAGGCTTCTTTCTTGTCCTCAACCTCTCCTACTCCCTATCTTGTACTGCCTTCCTAGATGCATGTGTGCATCTCTATGGACAGTGAGCCATCCATTCTCCTGTAGAATGTAGAGAAAATGAGGGGATGATGTATTTAAAGTTCCTTTGTATGTATCTTCTGGGTAAAGATCAGCACTGTAAAAGGATATTTGGGTTTAAAAATTAATTTTGCAGTAAAAAGCACAGCAGCTCAGTGTTTATGCAGCATTGAAATTGAAAATGTTATAGTGGTTTATCTTATTTACCAACGATTTCCAGAACATGAGCCAGAATGCAAGTAACAGATTAATTATGCATGCCTTATTAAACAAGTTGTTCTTTGTCTTTTGAAAGCTTCAGGACTATACAGAAGAAACGAGGAGAAGAGGTTCTCCAAAAAACACAAAGGTAGGTGACATGGGAAGGCATGTGTGATGTATGAAAACTGAGGTGTTTACTAAAGCGAGTATTGTTGAGAATTCAAAGTGAATTTCAAATTTAAAGGGACACTATAATCACCAGAACCATTACAGCTTAATGTAGTGGTTCTGGTGTCTATAACCTGTCCTTACAGCATTAGGCACTGTAAACATGGGATTTTCACCTCCTGACTCTTTAAATTTGGCTTTGAGGGATCAACCTAAAGACAGAATCAGGGTGAGAGCTATTATATAATACATTCTTATTGTCAGTTTACTTCATAAAAATATCAAAACACAATCTGTTACTCTCTCTTCTGATCAGCATATCTAAATAGACAATTTGAAAAAAGTCAGAGTTCATGGTGAACTTAATCACTGGCTCACATTTAATAAGACAGGTCTGAAAATCAGGTAGGGACTCCAATGCACCCTCTGATAACACCAACACATCGTCTATATAGCGCCACAATTTAATCACAATGGTCTTAAACAAACCTAGAGTGTATATATAAAGAATTCTTCCAGCATAGCAATGTATATGTTGGTGTATTTGGGGTTACATTGGAGCCCATCATAGTCCCACAGAGCTGCAAGTCTGAAAATTATTGCCACGTAAAAAATAATTAGACTTCAACACAAGTTAAATTAACTTTAGCAAAAACTCTTTTTGTGGGCCAGTAAACTCTCTAAGGCACCTTCAGTGGCAACCAGACCCAATAGAATGTTCTATTAAGGTTTACAGACTCTGAATATCACTAAAATGAGGGATGCAAGGATAACTATTCCTCTAATTTATTCTGTGGAATCTCTTAAATATGATTTTACATCTTTTAAAGCTGGTTAGTTGGTCTCAAAATTTTTATCCAGGACATGGGCAAGGATGATAAAACTGAATGTATGCCTGCAACTATCAGCCTTGCAAATGTTTGGCAGAATTTATGCCCTTGTGGGAGTTTCTACTAGGGCCTGATAGGTGTTGTTCCTTGTGTGAGGGCATTTAACTGCGGCTGTGACCAAATTTGGAGCCACGACTATGTTTTGGGTGAATGTATGATCATTCAAGGGGGACAGACACCCCTGAAGTGAGGAAAATGAACATTGGTTTATGCCACATATTTTGACTGGATGGAAGAGGCATTTAGCTTGCCAGTGACCACAGCATTCAATCTATCCATCAATCTCGAAAACCCTGCTGAATTTTGTCTGAATCTAATTGACTAATAGCCAAAATTTGTTCCAGACAATATTACATTTATTTTCCACCATACACAAGTCCATTCCTCTTAGCTGCATCCAGGTCTGGTGTTTTATTGGTGGCTGTTTTGCTATTAGGATTGTTAATGGTGTTAGTAGATTGCCTATGTTGTTGTTTAGGCAACCAATAAGTGTTGATTGAAATCTGGATCTGCTGAGCCAGGGGTATTGGAAGCCTGGTGGGTGGGATGTGTATGTACAGAATCACTATTTTATTAGGGCAGAATAGTAGTGTCCTAAGCAAACCCTGAATCTAATAATAAGGCTCTGAATGATTTAGCCTCCTAAGACACTTGCTAACCTTAATTTTAGTTGGTACTAAATTGTTACCAATAACTGAGTGGTGGGAGCAGATTCATTGAGTAGTGTTACAAATGGCTCAAACATCTTCATTTTGCTATGATTTGTAATTGTCCATAAGCCTCAAAATTCTTGCATTCATTTCACAAGCTTTTATTTTTTAAGTGGACTTGCGATTCAAAGCCTTGGTATTGCTACTTTTTATATCTTGCTCTACTACGGGGTAAAGTCCAAAAATTTGTGTTGAGTTGAGTATTTAGTTAGATATTTGTGTAGGTCTGTGTAGAAATAGATCTCATAGTTCACGCTAATACTTTTTCACTGGTGTTCAATGGTCATCCAATAAACTATTTTTCTTTTTTAGTTTTATTTTCCCTTCTAGTCTCCCTTGTTTATTAATGCACATTGTAACTTATTTGTGAGACCATTGAAGCTTGTGTTCAGGCCATATTCAATTGCATGGAGCTAGGAAGTGGCCTCATGGTCAAGTCAGTTGCTCGATGGTCAGCTACTGCAAGTGGGAGCACATGTCAGTTCCAAATGGTACTAATGTCTGTTTCTGTCTAGGATACGGCCAGGTATCAGCTGTAGGGTGCTTTATGATAGCATATTTGATAATGCTAAGCAATTATTGCAAGTCTACATCTTCTGGTTCATCCGGTCAAGTCACTGTGCTTTATCGTGGTTTGTGAAATAGGGTTGTAGTGGGACCAAAGGAAGATTGGGAGATAGAGTAGACATGGAGTGTGAGTCAAAGGAAAAAAGCAATTGTCATGGTAGTATGTTGTCTACTAGTCGAGGATTAGTAGGTACTGCTAGTTAGTACAGGATATAGGAGTCGAGAAAGAGTGAGTATCAGTCATGTGAGTCAATAATGAGTTACTTAGAATATACAATCAGAGTACCATTGGTGTGATTAATAATCTATACCTAACCGAATACTAATACTCTGAAATTGTCGTGATGCTAAAGCCTTCAAATTTAATGCCTTTGTTGCTCCAGTCCTTTAACTAAAATTAGGGTTTGAGACAGACCCACAAACAGTGCTTATATGTGAGAGAGACAATAGTTGGCGCCAGAATTTCTGATTTAATTTATTGAACTAATAAGGGGCAGAAATAAACTCTGTAAAGGTTTAGTCATTATCGCATGAACAAATGTGAACTAAAATTTGCTCCTGAAGAATATATCTTCTATAATCATCTTCTATTAATGCTTAAGTATGGTGGTAAAAAGTGTGCATCGTATTGGAATAATAAACATGGTGCTTAATTTTTTTTTACTAATTTATGTGTTTTACAGAAAGAAAAACATCATGTAGGCCAGCACAAGTGTTCCCAACGCATATGTGAAGTAAAGGAAACCTTTTCCAATTTAAAGACCAACTGGAAGAAATTTGCACAAAATGCCCCCGATCAATGTAAATAGGGGATTCTAGTTAGAAGGAAAAGGAAATGCATTCCATTTCTGGACTTTGGATACATTTTCTTTCTAGTTTTGGATACTGCTTGAATTTGACATTTTAAGAAAGCAGCGAGAGGACAGGTAGTCGCAGGAATAGAAAACTGGAGTGGATCAAATCAAAAGTACAATGGCTGAATCTCAAACACAACAGCTGCTTGAAGAAGAATGGTAACCTTTTTCCCTATTTCACGTAAGGCTGAGCATATCTAAAAAAAAACATCTGAAACTTAAGCATTTTGCCTACCAAAAGCCAACTCTTCAATTGTGTTTGTTAGCAGACAATACTGTATTGTTTATATATTCTGTCTTTTGAATTTTCACTTACTGTTCGCTTAAATTTTCCATATTTATGTTTTTTGCACTCTCGTATTTTCTCTTAATTCTTTCTTTATGTTGTCCTGTCATCACGTTATTGTAGTATAAGTATATAAGTGTTAGGACTACTTAAAATGATGTGCTTTCGTCTGTTTTAGAATCAGAAAGTTATTTGGCTGCCTGTTCTTATTAACTGGATTGATGGCTGAAGGTTGCAAACACTTAAGACACATGCAGTAGCAGCAGAATACAATGAGAAAAGCTTCTTTGATATAAGCTAATTAATATTATTTTATATTATCTTGTAATATAACATAATGTATTATAGTGCCTTTAAGAGAGAACTACCTTACTTTAAAAGCACAAAATAATAATTAAAAATATGTCATTTAAAATAGGCATGATCAGCTGAACTATTGATAGAGGGATCTGAGTTATGTCAAGGAATCTTAAAAAGAAAAAATAGAAGAGTTTAGTTTTTGTTTTTTGTTTAGTTTTGCACGCTGTATGTATTTTGTTTTTACTTAGTAATTAATCATGGCATTTGTCTGCTTTCTCTTTGCTATAAACCACAGCAAGATCTCTTTTTATGACTGCAAAGAAGCTTGTCTAAGTTCAAAGTATCTGACAGTTACTGTATTTGGACAAATGTTTTTTTTTTTTTTAAATCAGAGATTGTTGTGTACCTTATGAATGTGCAATGCATTCATTTACATTATAATTGCACAGTAAAATAAGGTTTGTTTTTTATAATTTACTTTATGCATACTTATTTTAAGGGTCTTATTTGTCATGGCATGAAGTTACTTCATACTTTGTGGGAATTCATAGTATCACATATACCATATAGAGAGTATTATACAATATAATACAATAGCATTAAGCAACTGTCGCTTGTAAGTACTAATAGAGGTTCAAGTCTTGACCATCAACATTTTTTGAATGTTGGCTATAGTCAACGTTCCTTCCTGTCATTTTCTTCTTTTTTTTCCATTGGAGTTATATCTAAAAACAGCTTGCAAAAGCAACAGTTCTCTTGTCTGCAGCCTTTGTAAGCCCTTCCCCTTTCCCTAACCCAGACCGTCTGTGGTTGTCCAATCAAAGACTTCTCAATGCAGCTCAATGAGATGTCTGTACAAGGCAGGTGCACTGAGTAATTTCTGCCTCTTGAGTTTAGTTCAACTGAGCTAACCAAACCAGGAAGTAACAGGACAAGTTGTCAAATTGACAGCCAGAGGGTGTAACAAGGTTAATTTTTAATGACCAATTTCTATTGAAATCTGCACTTTTGTAAAATGAAAAAAAAGAGAACACACTTTCATGCATAAAGCACTTCAGCAAGCAAGGGATTTGGAGTGTCCCTTTAAATGATGTAATTATGATGAGCTAGATGAGTGGATAGATAGATACATTGACAACTTAATGAACAGATATATCAAAATTATATGCATTGTAAGCTCTGACAGTGCTCTGAATTTCATTTGTATCTCGTCTTAGTCTCTTGGCTTGCTCCATCCCATGATACTTTGCAGCAGGGCAAAGAGTCTTGTGTGACAAAGATACAAGTGGCAGTATTCTGGCTATGTTGATAAGTTTACTTCTTGTTACTGAATAGCAATTTTCCTGTTGCCATTTATAGTCAAAAAATAAAGAAAGAAAGAGAAAGAAGAGACATGCTTGCTAGATTCCAGCCCTTATAAATAATGTGAAATTGTAAAAATAACCTTGAGAAAGCATTCCATTTTGATTCAAATAATTACAATGTAGTTTGTAGAAAATGCTTAAATAGAAACACAAAGCACCATAGTCACTATGACTTATTGTAGTGGTTATATTTGCAGTTCTTCTGCTTTTTGTCAAATCATTTTCAAGTGGTTTGCCACTTGCATCTCAGCCTACCACATCTGCTGCAAATTTGATCATAAAGAAGTTTAACTAGTAGATATTCTGATTGACAGGTAGCAACCTGAAATTTGACTGCAAATCAACGCAGCTGCTATGCCGTATAAATATTTTGGCCAGATAATGAGGATATAAAATCTGCAGACTGGCTGAAAAGTTTGGTTCGTCTGAATCAATTTTGTTAAAAAATGAAAAACAAATTTGATTTGGTCACACTGAGTTTTGCCCACGCGGCTTTTTGGTTCAGACAAATTTCATCCATGCAAACATTTTGAGAAAAATGACTTGGACAAACCAAAATAGCATGAAAATGCTCCCATTAGTGTAAAAAACAAACAAAAAACAGCTTCTTCACCATGCCCCCTCCTGTTTTCTGGTGCCATGGACATAACGATGAATCATGAAACAAACTAAACCGCTTGATCATTGCCCATATTATATGCTTCGTGATTCGCCCATACAGCGTTTCATAGTTGTGGGATTTCAGACGAATTGCGATTCAATTGAAACCGAATGCAAAGGTCTTAGAAACTTCCTTATTATAAAGCTGATGGCAGAGAGAATTAGATTTGCATGCTGTGAGGCACACATTTTTATTAAACCACTTAAACACAGTTTGACAAAAACAAAGCAACTTCATACCTCATTTCCAAGCTACTACAATAAACTGCAGTGGTTATGGTGCTTTGAGTGTCCATTTAATGTCACATACCAATATATGTGCAAAATTTAAAAATGTAATGAAGTTGAGCCATCACACATGAGATAAGGGTGCTCTTAATTCCAGCACACAGAATGATGGCTATAACATGCACTATCCTAGGCAAAATAATGGAGATATAGTAACAGGATATAATTATACATTGCATAAGCCTGCATACATTATAAGGCCAATTTATACAACATACAAGGTGCCTTATTTCAGGGCCCTATTTGACCTTGCATGGCAGAGTCACAGGAGGAAGTATCTTCCAAGTAAATGTAGTAAATGTATACTATAGCTAAACCCCCATTAAATTTGCCTAGGTTAGATGTTTAATATAAAAAAAATAAATAAAAAAAAAACCTATTACATTCGTTAAGCTTTGAAATTTCTGTTTAGTTAATGAGCGAGTACGCTGGATATATATCATATAAAAATGATAAGATTACAATTGAGAAGGCACAATGCAAGGACTATCTCCAGATTTTCACCACATTCAAATATGCCATTTTATCTACCTCCCATGTGGATCCTCTCTGGATTTAACAGAGTTATGGTTTAGATGTACTAGCTCTATACGAGATACAGCCTATTTGTGCCTGGTGGAACTGTTCCTCTCTAGCGTGCTTGAGTGATTTTTTGTGTTCCTTTTTGCTCTTACTGGCCCGTGGGCTTGCATGTTTGCTGGAAAGGATCAACATGCCCTCCATTTTCTGACATCTGCCATGTTAGGAAAGTGGCGGGCAGTCCATCGGCCTTAGATGATAACAGTAACACTGGGCAACACTACACCACGTAACTACGTACACCACGTACATTATTCTAATGTATTATTTCATAACGGTGCTAGGCTGGCTTAGATATCACCTCTAATTATGTCTGTAGATTTTTGACCACACCCTCCATACATCAAGAAATTTGACGCGCTGGGGACAGAATCTCCTTCCTATTTACACCACATTTTACTGATTCTATCATTTTTATCTGAGTGAAAATGCTCCCTGAAAAAAACAAAACATTTAACACCATTAACTCCAGAGATGTTTTCTACCATTCACACTATTGTTAACACTAACAACGCCCCAAATCTTACATAGATATATAGGAAAGAGACTTAGATGCCTCTAACTTATGTAAAATTTGCTCAAATCTATTACTTTCTTGACACAGCTTCTCTCAAAGTACAAAGAAAATGGTTGCAAAGTAACAATTCATTGGTGTTAACTGCTTGTGCAAGGAGCCAAGGCCTATCCTACTTACATGGCTTAGGATTACCATGAGAACAGTAAGAGAGATATGTGGTCAGAGAGCCTATCCAGCCAAACTTCCTGGACAAGAGATCTCGTTTTTGTTGTTGTTTTGAGGCACAGAGTTGACCATGAGCCCGTACTGGCATTAATGGGTCAAAAAAACTGTAGACTTGATAAAGCTAGAAACAATCAATCTCCCTGGACCTCAATGAAACGTTGTGCATTCATAAATTGTCCAAACCCTGGATGCCATGGACCATCTTTATGTTGTATAATAACCGTAGTGGTTATAAAAGTGCTACAGTCAAGTCCCCCTTTGTAACATTGGAGTATCTTTGGATCATGTGATAGGTGGATTTTGTGTGACAAAGAGTTGAATTCATTGAGATTTGTAGAGGAGACCATCAGTGGATACTGGAGACGAACCAGTACAACAAATTCCACCAGTTCTTCTGATTGTCCCAGCATTGATATATTTCAATTTTTTTTAAAAAAAAAACAAGTTTTATTTGTGTGTATCTTTTTTTGTCTATTAGTTTTTTTGATGTTTTTACTATAAAAAAAATTTCAGCATAAAAATAAATTACTAAAATAAAATAAATAAAAACATAAAAATAAACAGGAGGATGAATCTGAGATCTCTGTACTTATAAATAGGCTATTTGTAATATTTATATACATGTGTTTACTTCCATTAAGTATAAAAAGAAATGCAGGGCAAGCTAAAATTACATAGTAGAGGAATAAATAAAGAGTTGGATATAGGTGTATTTGTGCTCAAAGAACTCTGAGATTTAAATACTGGCCGATTTCAGCTGTGTTATACAAAACACTGTTTTTGGTTCTGGCATGGTTCCCCTCCTTTAAAATAAGAAGAAATAAAGAATAAACTTATCTAGAATCCCACACAGGGGACAAGTTCTTCCTGCAGGCCTTTGATCCTTCGATGATGTCACTCCCACTCGCTACAGGAGGAGGGATGTCCCAGAGGCCAGGCTGAGTTAGAAATTGGGTGGTACAGAGGGCTAGGCTGTACCGCCATTTATAGTCTGTCGTGCCAAGCTGCTATGCTTGCTGACGATAGAGGCCTTATATGATCAGGATTAACATTAGCGGAGAGAGATGCTGATGGTGGAATTACACAGCAAAGTGCATTATCTCTGTATGTGCAGCATTTCTGAAACCCTGCACAGACTCCAAGCACCATGACCACTTCAAATCACTAAAAGTTAACTTTCAATAAAAAAACAGAACATTTAAAGGGACACTATTGTCACCAAAATAACTTTAGCGTAATTATGCAGATTTAGTGTATAGATCATGCCCCTGCAGTCTCACTGCTCAATTCTCTGTCATTTAGGAGTTAATTCGCTTTGCTTATGCACCTCTAGTCACACCTCTGTGCGTGTGACTTACACAGCCTTCCGAAACACTTCCTGTAAAGAGTTATCTAATGTTTACACTTCCTTTTTTGCAAATTCGATTTAATGTAAAATGTATTAACTCCTGCACTGTTAATAGCTTGGTAGACCCAGCAGGAGCCTCCTGTATGTAATTACAGCTCAATTTACAGAGGTGGAGATAAAAAGCTTTCAAAGTGAGTTATATCTGATTGAAAGTCAAACCATTTTGTTTTCATGCAGGCTGTGTCAGTCACATCTAGGTGAGATGTGGCTAGGGCTGCATAAACTGAAACAAAAGTGATTTAACTCCTAAATGTCAGTGAACTGAGCAGTGAAACGTCAAAGGTATGATCTATACACCTAAACTGCTTCATTAAGCTAAAGCTATAGTGTCCCTTTAATGAAAACTGTAGACTGATAATACATTTTTCTTGTTTTGAGGTCTAATGAGTAAGTTATTTGTTTTATTTGTATAGTAGTGACAAAGTTGGGGCATATATATATATATATGCCCCAATATATAATAATTACTATAAAATCTTAGAAGTTTGTCTTTTCTTATAAATGTAATATATACTGTAATAAGTATATACATTTGTGTCCTTATATTTATTTTAATATTAATTGGGGATCGGAAATGCCAAGGATCCTAACATTTGAGTATGATGGAGTATGAGGGCTGGGTATCTTCCTAGTAAGTTTCATATTTTGGAAGGACATGGATTTGAGATTTAAATAATTACCCCAACCCTTGTTTGTGAAACCTGTAATTCAATTTAGAATGCTCTATTGGGCATTGCGTACTAGAATCCAGCCCCCCTTTGGTATAAAACAAAGAATAAACATACATGGAATTCTGCACCAGCCATAGCTCCCTGCAGTCGTTCCCACTCCTATGTCCGATGTCACAGCTCCCTCGTGCAGTCCAGTTAAATGCATCTCATGAAGAAGCCTTTTTATTGGAGCATTCTCTGTATTTTCCCAAAAACAGATATGCAACACACAACCTTCTTATCTCTGCTGATCAGCTGATTGAGAGCAGGGTGAAAGACTGGTTTTAGACTCGGTTTCAGAGAAATCTAAACATTTGCTAGCAATTCAGATAGCACAATGTATAGATACTTTTTGACTATCATTTAAGATTAAGTTGTATTTGCCACGACATGTAACCTTTAACAGGTTAGTAGTGCGATTGTAAGCACATGACATGCTAGGACCATCATCCATTTTCTGAAGAAGTATTTCTGTGATGTTCTGGCATTTTGTTAGAATCCAAAACTAATTTAAATTTTAACCAAACCGAAAGCATAGCTAGTTTAGAGATTGTTTTTCCACTTTGGTTTTTTTGAATCTTAAATTTGAAATTTACTTAGAATTTTCACTTTTAGTGAATAAACCGGTGAGCCTTCAATTTTTCCATGTACAATTTTAATAGGGATAGGAGTGGGAAGGGGGGGAATAAGACTTTGACAGAGATTTTAATGGTGTCTTTGAAGACCAGATTTTATTCATACAGTCCGCATAGTGCTTTGTCCTCCTGTCTACAGAGTTACCCTTTAAAGAGTTGGTGAACTGTGGGTTTGCAATGCCGAACGTCGGCTAGAGAGTCATGTGAGAGATTTGCAAATAGCTTTCCAAATTTAAAACTGCCTTTTTAACCCGGAGTTTGCATCATGGAGTTTTATTCCCTAGATTCACGGGGCATTACATATTTTATATATATATATATTTTTTTTTTTATTTGTAAAAACAAAAACAAAAAATAGAATAAAAGAATGAAAAGATTTTTTGGGGGGGACTGGTATTATCTGGTATTATATGATAAATTTATGTTTAAATTTGTAAAAGCACAGATCTGAAGAACACACAAATGTGTTCATAATTCAGGTGGCAAGTAAACATAATCGCTATTGAATTTTACTCAATACATGAAGATTTTCTTAAGTGTAATTTCCACTGTGTGGGAATATAGTCAAACTGACGTAAATGTATTAGCCTTGTGCTTGATTTAATAATGTGTACATTTATTAAATTATTTTGTAAAGTCTTTTGACTGTAGCAAGAGCATAGAAGCAGAGTGTATGCACTATATGCATAGATATGTAAAACAATTTAATTTTTTTTTTTACATTAATGAAGTGTGGTTTTACACCACATACTATCCTTGGCACAAAATAAATACAGAGGAGTTAGCTACAGTGCCACGGAAACAGCATTGGGTCCCTTTAACTCAATTTTAAGATCTCTTCTTTATGATTGAACCAATCCAAATTTATGGTGGATTTGCCCTCTTTTGTTTTCCATTTTCTCAATCACTTAGGACATGGATAGGCAACCTTTGGCACCCCAGATGTGTGGACTACATCCCCCATAATGCTCTTACAACCATAATGCTGGCAAAGCATCATGGGAGGTGTAGTCCAAAACATCTGGAGTGCCGAAGGTTGCCTATGCCTGACTTAGGAGATCCACGTATTTTGTTCAGGACAAGTGCCTTCCATAGCTTAAAAAAACGAGGAGGAGATACCTGGGACATTGTGCCAGCAACATGTATGTATTCTCATAAACTGAAAATGATCAATGCACCCTTACTTCATGTGGCTGTTCATTTAAACAAAGTTCTAGGCAATTTTAACCTTTGTACCTCCCATTCAAAGTACTACTAATTCTAACCATCGGCTCTTGAAACTCTAGAGCATGGTTAGTTAATATGTGTACTTTACTAGCTGTTATTGGACTTAAAGACCTGGGTAACACCAAAAAGAGCCTTATAACCAGTAACAATATTTACTTATTCTTTTATGTAGACAACAGTTTACAATGCCAGCATGGGCTCTTAATCAAGGATTTAGTGGGCATTAGCTCCCGGGACAGACAATGACCCTGTCTGTACTTGGTCTTCTTGTTTTACACACTATCTTTTCCAGAAAAATGTAACTTCCCCTATAGTTAACCTTTTCAATAATTTCTGCAGCAGGAACTTAAAAAAGTGACAACATACCTCTTTTAACTTAGTGGGGGCATCCTCAGGGCACTATAGTGGTCCTTTAAGGGACCCTTATCGCTACAATATTCTTACTAGGGCTGTCTGCTCCTGGCTCTTTTCCTACATCTCTAACATTTTTACATGCTTACCAATTCCTCCACAGTATCCAGCCCTGGAACTGGATATACTAGAAGAATTATTGGTGGCAATGGATACATGGAGAACAGAATCTGCAACCCCCTAGCTATGCGCAGATCTCAGTGAATGGCCCATCATAGGTTGCAGATATATAAAGTCACAACAAATCAATCCAGCAGCCTTCTTTGGTCCAAGCCATATATGACCTGTGTCATGAATTTCATGTTCAAAAACAGGCCTTCCATTTGAACATACCCCCAGATGAATTTTGGCAGCCCTGCACTGCGCCTCCTTGTGCTTCATACCAAACGGCTCCTCTTGCCTTTGCACCTTACGTGATATTTTCTTGCACCTTTCACTCTCTTTCAATCACTCACTAATTCCTTGACAACCGTTGGCAACTGCTTTTGGACGATACACCTCGTCTAAAATTTATGGAAAAATGTAAAGGTCCTAAACTCTGTACACTATATCTCTCCTTGTTTATATTTTATATATTTTTTTGTAAATGTATTTTTCATATTTTAGCACTATAGGTGAAAAATCACAATTAAAACAATGCTTATAGAAATGTACAAACAATGATGCTTTTGTACCTTTAGCGAAAGAAAGAAAAAATCTGAAAAATAGTGTGTCCTCTTAAGTCAAGGCTTTTTAACTAGGAATATTTCAATATAAGATATTTCTGTAATAAAATAAGTCTTCCACGCGTAGAAAATGACTCATTCATTTTAATGCAGTTTCCTACCGATCAGTCTCTTGATGAGCTCAGCCTTTGCAAAACAATGATTTAATGCACAATACATCATCCTCATGGTTTCTTAAAAGGGAGTCGCAGCAATTCTGTACTGTATAACAGTTAATAAATTTTCAAATACAAACTGAAACTTTAATGTAATACTAATGTACCATTTAAATATATTATTTCATTAATGACATAGTAACATACTATGCATTTGTGTTCCCAAAATATATCAACATTTAAATTAGCTGAACAAAGAATATTGTCGTTCTGCCAGCAATACCTATTGAAAGTACACCAGGTAATTACAAAGTAAATTTCATCAGGTCAATTTAACTACTAGGGATTGTTCACAGAACTAATATCTAAAAAGGGAACTGGAATCTTGAGGCCAAAATAGACACATTGGAAAAACTTGGTTGTCAAAATCATCAATTCTAGATTTAGTGAATATACCCCAATTAGTTTTTTTTTCTTCTTTAGAAACCTCAAATATATACTCATAGCTCTTTTAATTCAACAGATTTAGATCCAGTAGAGCTGTTTGTTGCTAGTTTTCCTTTTTGAACAGTGGACAGCACCTAAATCAAAATCTAAATCAAATCTATTGGCTTGGTAACGATTAGAAACACCCAAGAAGATAAAACGTGTGTCTGCCATATTTAGGTCTGAAGTTTCCCCACTCCTTTTATTGATGATTCAAGATGTTGTAGAGTGGCTGTTAGAGAGTATTTACATAGTTACATAGCTGAAAAGAGACTTGCGTCCATCAAGTTTAGCCTTTCTCACATATGTTTTTGCTGTTGATCCAAAAAAGACAAGGTGGGGGGAAGGGGAAAGAGGATACAAAACGTATATATTTTTTTCTGGAAATCACCCATTTGCTTTGCATTGTGTTATCGGATTCTGGTCACCTTAAAAGTCAGAACTGCATATTGTACTGTCTTCTAAGGCTTTAATTGGGTAACAGCATGAGAGGGTGAAATCGGACATCTTTAAAATTGTGAATCTATATATCTCTATGAAAAGGGTAGAAGATCTCATTGGGTCAGGGATTGAGTATATATCCTTAAGTGGGCAAAATAACATTTCCAGGAGAGTCTAGCATTTCACCATCTTTAAATGTCACCAGCTGCAACTATTTTTTAATTCATGAGAATAATACTCAAGGGAATGTTTGTAAATTCTGTTAAAGGAATAAAAATAATTCAGACTCTGTTCCCCTTTATTGCAAAGCTCACTTAAAGCTTGTAAACGGTTTGTTAATTGACAGTTATTTGAGTAATTCTCCTAATAGTATTATGCACTGCAATTAATTTAGAGCAGTGCTCCTTAAAAACTCTCCTCACGGCACAACTATCCATCCAGGATTTAGGGATTACTCAGGTGTGTCTAAGGAGTTAAAAAAAAAAAAAACAGTCTAAGGTGGTTTTATATAAACACCTTAAACACACCCAGGTAATCCCTAAATCCTGGACGGTTAGTTGTTCCTTGAGGAGCACGGATTTAGAGAATGCTCGTTCTGACATCCAATTAAAAGCACTTTAAGGGAAACAGTTGCAGTATATATATTTAAACAGCGCTGTAATATTAGTGGCATGTTTGTGTTTATTGCACTTCATATCATAATTTTGCGCTATTTTATGTTGTCTAGGTATGTCTGCTAGAACTATAAAAACCATGTGCATATCCTATTTAGAACATGTGCCTGTTTTCATTTTGTAGTGTAAATATATCACAGTATTTGCTTAATATGTGTTCATTGTAATTTTAAACATGAATTGCAATAAAATTATTTTACAATCTTTGTTTTTACTGTGTGTGTCCATGATATAAATCAAAGCGGAAATTGTGCTATCCGCTTCTAAAATGTAAATTTTATGTACTGAATCTCCGAGACCATCTGATTAAAATAGAGTTTTACTTTAATTTTTGGAAACATCTCTATTGCCTGTCAAATTAACAGCCACTGGGTTTAACTTTCAAAGAAAACTTCACTGTTCCAGCAGAACAGCAATTGTTTCATCTGCAGGGTTGAAGCTGGTTGCTGGTTAGTGTTCCTATAAGGGCCTTCCTGGTGTATAGAAGCAATGTTAAAGAGATATTCTGTCTCGTCTCTACCTTTCTGTACCCCTTGCCTCTTCTCTACTTGCTCTCTGCCAATCACCTCTTTACCATCATACCCTTTTTTTTCCCCTTAACTTCACTAATCTCTTCTTCTCTTCACTCTTATTTTTGTCTTGCCAGCTTCGATTTCCTAACTCCGCTCAAGTTTTGTTCTGTGTTCTCGCATGATTTTTATATTTACTATATCTTATCCACTAGCTCTGACGAGCTTTCCTTCCCATTTTCACTGTTTGTCTTGTCCAGCCTCAATCGTCACAACCACTGTCATAGTCCTGTGTGCGTATCTAAAACGCCTTTTATATTGAAAGATTGTGTGTGTCCACGCTCATTTCTCTGCGTGGCATGCTAGTAGTAGCATGTAAACACAATCTTACTTAATTATGGAGTTTCATGCAGATTTTAAGCTTGCATTATGAGGCGTGAATAATTTATAAAAGTATATTTAAGACTGCAAAGTCAGAAAACGTAGTAGCTCATCAGGAGATATCATTCAGAAAATATGTTAAAAAGGTAATTAGTGATGAAAAAGGGTTACTCCAACCACCATGACCACTTCTTCTTTTAAATGTAATCATGGTGGTAAGAATCTTTGCGCAATTTTTGATTGAAATTTTGCACATACAGATTAGACTTTCGTGCCGGGGGCTATCTACTCTCCTGCTACCTGTGATTTAGTCAGTTTGTGCAAAAATTATATCACAGGCACAAAGTTGACAGATGTAATCAGCTTCTACCTTTCCAGTAGGCGCTGGGAGAAGATTCAATGTAGCCACCCTCCCTTAATTTACTAAAATTGCCTGTTTTTAGAAAAGTATGTAAACCCTCCCTTTGTACACCACCCAAGTCCTTCCCTCCCTTCTCTGTGATAAGCATTTGATTGGAGAGTGACGTGGCGTTAGTCATGACAGTACTGGATTCAAAGGGAGTTTAAACTTATTTGTTTTTTTGTGTTTTTTTATTAAAAAGGGGGTGGACAAGATTAAAAGTGCTATATAGGGAAATACAAAGAAAAAAATATGACTGTGAAAAAAGTTTATATTAATCTTTAGAAGAAACATGGGGATAAAAAGTACAATGCGAGAGAGGTGACTGGCGAGTGAGTAGAGAAGAGGCTTACATACACTATAACAGTGCTTCTCTACACTGAGAAGATTTACCAATGAAATGTGTCAGGATATCATGCCAGTTCCCAGATAGGGCAGCTGTAATTTAAATGTAATTAAAAAAAAAAAAAAATTGCACTTATTTTATACACTCTCCATTGCCATTTTTAATACATATCACACTACTGTGCAAAACGATAACAGATCAGAATGAATGACGAAAAGGAGAATAATCTCTATTATAATCATTTTTGTTCCGGGTGTGAGAAAAAGAAAATGCAGAATAAATGAATAGCCTGCAAAGGTGAACGAGTGAAACTATAACCCACACAACCAGCATTCCGTATTAATATCCTACACTCGACTTGAGATCACAACAGACATCATTGTCTTCAAGAATGCTATAATAAATCATCTTAATTTAGCTAGATGACTGATCTGTAGTGATGTGCCGAACAGTTCGGGAACGGTTCGCCACGGACTCATCATTGAGTAAACTTTGACCCTGTACCTCACAGTCAGCAGACACATTCCAGCCAATCAGCAACAGACCCTCCCACCTCCTGGACAGCTCACTAAGAATGCAGCTTCACAATGGATGCTGTCCAGGAGGTGAGAGGGTCTGCTGCTGATTGGCTGGAATGTGTCTGCTGACTGTGAGGTACAGGGTCAAAGTTTACTCAATGATGAGTCCGCGGCGAACCGTTCGGGACATCACTACTGATCTGTTATTTCTCAGCTACCATACAATTTATTTTTTCATTTGTCAAACTTGATAAAACACAGAAATAGTCAGCTAATGCAAAACACTATAGAAAATGAAATCTCGATACTTATCCATCTGTCACTGAACATTAACTAGCTTTTTGCATATGTCTGATGTAAGAATGACGCATTTAAGAAAGCATCAATACACAGTATTTCAAGAAGAAGAAGAAAAAAAAAAAAAATCAAACCTGGCTTTTATTGTGCATGTAGGGCTCGACAACAGTATATATGACAACGAAAGAGGTAGCTGGGATACTGAAAGCAATAGGACAGTAAGCGAAGGCCTGGATAGAGAGAGTGGATTTTAATTTCTCAAATAAAACATCCTGCACAGTGTTTTCAATGGTTTACAATTTTATTGTGAACAAAAAATTATATAAATACATATTTATTGTGTTGACAAGCTGCAAATCAATTAACATATCAACATCCAGTTACACATAAAATTGAAAACAAGTACATCACACAGAGCAAAAGTGCAGAGTTTAAAAAAATAATAAAATAAATTATTAAAAACTGTAAATATAAATACAATTTTTGGCCAAGAAACAAAAATAACAGATGGTACTTTATAATGCTTTACCCACAATAATATAAATAGCTCCACACAACAAGTGACTTCATGGTGCTCTGGAAAAAACAGCAATTACATTAAAAGGATAATGAAAATAGCACGTATCTTATCTTGAAGAGGAAAAAAAAAAAAAAAAATCAATAAAAAAAAAAAAAAATTCACCCTTAAAGGTTTTCTATATGTTGCCAGAGCCTTGTTTTTTTTTTTTTACTATACTGTTTATTCTTCCCCCAACATCTGCACGTTTAACTCCATTTACTTTGTACTTCGTTTAATTTACATTCTGCCTTTCTTTCCACGGTTTGTATTAATGATTCCCAATCACTTCTTTCAGGACGTATACTCATCAGCGGATATCATTGGGCTCCATGCTTGCTAAGGATTTTGTGTCAAGGTGCCACAATTCTGGAATTTTAAGCTCAATGGCACTAAATTCAGCTCCTACTAAATCTTCGGGTTTAAGTGTAGTTAGTACTGTATGTATCCATTGGTTCATAAATAAATTGTATAGCACTGTTAAATATACTGGAGCGTAAAAAAATACTTCAAGCACCATAATTAACCGTTGTAGTGGTCATGGTACCAGGAGAGCCTCACACTCTCTAACAGTAACTAGTCGAATCTTTTAAGAGTAGTTTCACAACTTATCTATGTAACGTCATGTACCAATTGAAGCCCAGCCACGAAGGGCCGCACTCATTAGCTGAGAACAGTGAAATGACGCAGACAGGCTTACCCAGGTAAATTGTCAAAACTTTCTTAAATGGTTTGACTACTTACTCGGGGGTAAGGGTGTGGGACACCATGGCACCAACAGACTGTAATTCTTATAGTACTTGGAGTATTCCTTTAAAATATTGAACTAAAACCATTTTCCTTTGCTTGCCTTCCCATTGCCATTTTCAAAAGAAAATGTTTCATGTAAAATACAAATGCACTGCACTTGAAGGAATATTACCTCAGAATTTCCTCCTAAAATATATATATATATATATTTTTTTAAATAACTTTGGACTGATATCCCTACACACATTTAAATATATAACCGAAAAGTCACAAAATACCTTTGCATATCATATTAACATATTTTGGCTATGGTTTCCCTTTAACTCATGAGATAAAAAAAAATAAAAATAAAATATTCTAAAGAAAACCAAAAAACAAATCTCTACAGTATTATACTAGGACATTGAAACTTTTTTTTGTGCAATTGTTTAATGCACTTGGAGCCCTAGAGGGTCCCTTTAAACGATATGGTATATATTTTAAATTTACAATTAGTTGTGAGATGAGATACATTTGCATAATTTAAAGAGTAAGATGCATGCATGTATTTTTTTTCATGTAATTCTTTTTTTTGCATTCTGTGCACCTCACAGATTGTAAGCTAGTTTGAGCAGGTCTTCCGCAACCTCTTGTCAATATATTGTATGCCAATTACTTGCTGCCACTTATCCCCAATCAACTATTTTAAAGCACTGCAGAATATGTTGGCGCTGTATAAATAATAATAATTTAGCAAAAATTAAATATATACAATTTGAAAACTGATACAATTAAACTAAATTTCATGATGTCAAAATTTCTTCAAATACTTAAAAATGTTTACATTTATTACACTCCAAATCTTATTAAGGATTGCAATTAAAAAAGCAATCATGGATCTTTCAACAGAGATTTCTGGAACTGAAAACGCATACAAAATTTTTAGAAATTTGAAGGTAATTCTTTAAGGGCGGAAATGGCGGGATTTCCAGTATATTGCTATAAAGTCAGAGTCAAAATCAATCAGAATTCTGATTATCACTGTGTGCACCTGGTGACAACTAATGTTACCCAACGCATATTAAGTTCAACTGAACTGTGACACCTGATTTTTGCTGTTGCAAATAACTAGAACATTATTTTGACAAAAGCAATACATAAAATAAAAACACAAATATGGCGTGAGATAATTAAACACAAAAACAAATAGTTTGGTCCACTGTTTATGTGAGCAAGAACAGCCTTGAAAAGTAGAAATATCAGACTGACCAATAATAATTAAGGAGTAAATCTACTAAACAATACTTTATGGCAAGGAAACAGCACGTTTGCAAATGTTATGCCCACATTCATGGGGATGGATTCCGAATTCTGAAATATTTCTAACGCCACAGCTTTACCCTAATTTAGCAAATCAGTTTTTTGATCCCCATGACAAACAGTTAAGATAACAAGCCTGACATTGG